ATAATTAGCCAAACCACTCTATATCCATCTGGGTTTTTAATTTCTTTTGGCTTAGCTTAGTCTATATAAAAGGTAAGAAAAGGCCGGATAATTTTCTTGACCTAGTGTTAAGATTTGACTTTTACAAGAATGACACCCAGCTCTGATGATGTCCATCATATGATGGACGAAAGCTCACACGTTTTTTAAAACGAGGAAGTCCCGTGGACTGCCTCAACATGAATATACTATACAATCCAACCGGCTGCAGTACAACGACTTACATCCGTCCTCATCTGGTGAGATCGACCAACGAATCTTATCTTCATGCCCTTTTATACGAAATGAAGGTTATCTCAGCAGATTCATCGAAACCCAGTTTTTCTTCGTATCTACATTTATATTGTAAAATATATTAAGTACTCGTAATGAAAACTCATAGAGCTACTCTCTAGTAATATCTACTAAAGACATGGAAAATACGGATTGACCTTATTAAAAAAAGTGATAATTAATGTTTGATTTTCCTGCTTGATTGCATGAATTCTGACTTAATGGTTGTGGCCGAGTAAAAAATTATTCTTACTGGATACACACAAGCCGATTTTATATTTAATCACATGCTAGTAAGACTGAAAGTTGACTCATGAATAAAAAGCCCGTTTTGGAGGACGAGAATAAGCTAGTGGGTAGGTAATATCATGTTGCCTTGAAGGGGACGAGGAATGAGCGCATACTTGTCAAAGCCAAAATGTCACCAAGAATTGGTAGAACATGTAGGGACCAGATAGACAGAATTGACAGCTGTCCAGCGAAAAGATAGTGAGAAAGTTTTTTTAATGTGTAAACTAACTAAATCATAAGGATAACTTTTAAACTGCCAAATAGAACAATAAACAATTTCAACTAACGCTCTTACGTGTGAACCAAACGGTAATATATTAATGAGCTATAAGATGCAAAATTTAACTTCAGGATGATAAATGGTGTAGTAAAATAGAAAATCTGTGAATTATCTATAGTAATAAATCAAGATATATCTGTTAAAAATAACTGTAGATGGAATGGAACTTCCAGACTTATATGGTTGATAATAATAATACAATACATGAATTATGTAAACAGGAAGTATGACGCTGGTCATAAATCATAAAGTAATCAGATGAAATTCGGGATAATGAATATGGGAATCAATAATATAACACTTACTGAGGTGGCTTTCTTTCTTAGGCTTTTAGATCTGCTTGATATCTTTTCACTTTGCTAAAATAAAAAAGTAGGAAATATATTGCAAATAGAGGCGATAATGGCTGTGATAAATATATGCATTGATCCGAACTTAGCAAAATTATACAAACACTGCTTAAAAATAATTTAATGAAACAGTAAACAAAGATGACGATTGCAGCAATGTAGTTAAGCAGTTCTAAGCCGAGATTGAACAGGATGCCATGAGAGAATCACATAAAGTAGATGATTTTGAAGGGTAAAAACTGAAGAGGCGTAAAAATAAAGCTCTAATATAAAAAAATAATATATTTAATCCTATAGAGCCAATCCTCCTAGACAAGATATAATATAAGCAAAAATTGTCAAATCAAACTACATATATAGTGATATCTATGAGTAGTAATGATAAAGATCGACTCTAAAGAATAGTGATTTTATACCTTTTCGAAGAATTTTTTGTCAGCAGAACGAGGATTGTAAGACGCCAGGTACGAAGCTATCAAAAGGAAGCGCGAGTAATAAGGTAACTCGAGGTTGAGTGACGTTTGAAAATTGAACCTTTCACCAAATAGTGATTCTCCCCTAGTGATAAAATGGAGGTAGTGAGAAACGATAACATATTAAACAGTAAGCTAGATATGGCAATTACTTAACATCAGAAGCTACCCCTGACAATGGTTGTAGTCGCATATAAAGTGTAGACAAAGAGCGCTTCAATATCGGTTGTGCGTGTCTCCAATGGCCCCATTCGTCATCGGGAGCGACGACACCATTGATGATCGCTTCTTCGAATATAGGCCAATTCACCTAAAAAGTTGCAAGTAATTAAAAAAAGGTTTAACAGATCATATAAAAAAATAATTAACATTGAAATTTCAGTGAAAATAGATTTACCTTGCATACATGGATCAATTCCGTAATATTTCTGCAGATGGGAAAGCATACCGTGAGAAGAAGATCCACAAAGTTCGCAAAGCGCTTAGAGTCAGCTTCATAAGGAGCTATAGAAAGCAAAATCCTTTGTGCTTGATCCTTGGTGTAAGACGATAGTGATAAGAGGAATGGAACCATGTGAAAAGTTCCGGAATGAAATTTATACCAAGGGCACCTAGTGACAAAGATGCAACAGAGATATGGCCTTTGCTGAGGGCTCACGAAATGAGAGCCGATTAGACTATTCAAATTAAAAAGTAATGATAGAAGACCATTTTTGAAATTTCTGATTCTTTCCGCGTCTCTGAAAACGATACATAGGGTAACTCCAACAATAAGTTAATTTTACACAAACCTTTCCTGTCCCCGCATGTACTGCTTAATTTTCCGAGTAGAAAGCATAGAGAGTCTATAAAAGCGGCAGTATTTTCACAATGGAGATTATAGTCCGTGACAATTGAATACTTCCTCCTAATTCTAAAGATTATGCTCTCTAGTAGAAGTCTGGCTGCGGATGGACCGCTGGTTATGCTCGCAGAAGTGGAGCATCCCTCTAGGCAGCTTACATCTATCCACTTAAAATCTTTATTTTCCGAACGAAGTCTATTGAGAACAGAATTAATAAGAGTTGCTTTGCCACAGCCAGCTGGACCAGAAACAAATACAGACGGGCAAAGAGGAGACTAAATTTTAATAAATTTTAAGCTTACTATCTTATAAATGTTATAAAGCTTAAAATAATCCGACTCTCTACCAATAGGCTGATTGCAAGACTACAAAAGATAAATGAAATAAAAGACAAACCTCTGCAGCTGGCATTATGATCTGCCCGGCAGAATCAAGCGCTCGCGCAGCAATCGGCTAAAAGAATTTTGTTTGGCAAATAATTTTAATTTTGCCTAATTCGTCACTAATAATGCTTGGTAAAATCGTTTTAAATTATTTATAAGATTCTAAATGCTATAATATTACATTATTATTTATATTTATAATAGTATTATCTAGTGATAGGTTAGATAGATGAACTATTCATAATTAGATATTCCTGAACGCCTCGAATACAAAAGCTTTTATATATATGTCCTAAGCTTTTTATAAAAACTCATTATTATATTAGCTAAGTTTTACTATCTTAATGGATAAAATTAGATAAGAATATGCCTATGGGGAGCAGGCTGGCAGTCACATACATAAATTAGGATTGCACTGAGCCAATTTTAAAATTTATCGAATTTGGAATCAAACGTTCGAGAGTACCGCAGTTGTGCCTCCAGAGCCACCGTTATAGACAGGTTTGTTGTCGCAACGAGTTGGTTTTTATAACTGTCCGTAGATCATGAATAGGTCACGTAATGTGATTTAAGGACTG